TAACTCTTTCTGTTCCGAACCAAGCTACATAAAAGTCTGAAAAAAAGAGTCCAGTCTTCTGTCCCAAAGGTACCTCCTCTCCCCTAGGAAGTGCCTCTTTAGGTTGAGAGAAAAGCCTTCACCTGCCTGGACTGCCACAGTGGGGTCTCTGGGCCTGGCTCCTCACCCCAGGAGGAGAAAAAGGAAGTGGCACTTTATTCCCTGGGTTGCCCATCTGGGAATCCAATTAAGGGTGATCATGGACTCCTTCCCTCCACCGTCAACAACTACTCCTCACCTCTTCCACACACACCCCTTCCTCCCCACTCCCAAGGAGCAAAAGGATTTTGGGAGCTTTAAGTGCCAGGAAGGCTCTGACCCAGAGGTTCACTCTCCCAACCCACATTAGGTCTGAGCCCCCCTCCCCTCAGGATTGCGGTTCCCAGAAATTCTCTGAGCTAGCCCTCCCTTCCCAAGGCCCCAGAGGGAAAAGACATTCCCAGCCCTCCCCTCCCCCTTCAGTTGCCCCTCCCCCACCTCCGAGGGAGGGGCCGAGGCGACGATCTCCCGGTCACCGATCTCCGGGTCACCGGAGCAGCAGCGTCTGCTGTGAATCGCAGGAGACAAACACTTCGTTCGTCACACAAGCACATCACCCTCGGGATCACCACTCAGTCCGCATTGTACAAGAGGGGAGGAGGCTGAGGTTAGAGTGGCCCTCGACGTGCCTGTAGGCACCAGCCAATCGCCAAGCCCCAGGGGGGCCAGATCCATGACCCCAACCCTCACCCTGCCGCACGCCCCAGCCCGCCCCCTCTTCGCCCCGGCGCCATCCCAGGTCAACGTCTCCAACCCAAACAATCCCCTTCCCCAAAAAGGTCCCCCTCCCCCTGTCCAGTGCCTAGGGTCAGCAGCCGCAGAAAAGACTGCGCCCTGACCCCTGCCCCAATGGCAGAAGCGCGAGATTTCATCCTCAGTCTAGCCACTTGGCCGCACGCGTGAGACTAGGCACAGGGTAGGGGGGCTACCAGACAGGCTCTGCGGGGAGTGGGGAGGGGTCTCCAGGGGAAGGGTTTAAGCTGCTCGGTCCAGATCCGGAAGCAGCCGGGGAGGAGGAAGGCGGGGGTGGGGAGAGCGCGACCTTAAGCGCTCGAGGACGGCGAGGAGGGGCCGCAACAGCGGGAGGAAGCACCCAGAGGCGTCGGGTAGCCGTCCCCCGGGAGGCCACGCTCCCGGTAAGTTTCCCACCGGTTGCCAGGAGCAGGATCGGGTGCGTGGACCGCCCTTCTCGGCCCGACCAGCTCCAGGGCGCAGATTGCGAACTTAAGCAGAACTCCTTCCCTCTCCTGTATCCCTCACCTCCCTGTCCGAGGCCACCAGCCACGCCATCTCAGCCCCAAGCCTTCCACCAGTGTCACCGTCGCCAAGAACGCTCACCAATGCATTGTGGAGGAAAGGGGAGGAGGAAATCCCCAACACAACCAAACTGCGGCCAAAAATTACAAATAAAAAAAATTTTAAAGGAAAGAAAGAAATTCCTTCTTCTCAGACCGATTCCCTCCGCCCTCGTGGAAAACCCCCCAAAAGGCAAATTCTCAACTCCAGCCAAGATCGAGACGCAGAGGGAGGGGTGCCCGCGGCGGGCGGCGACCCCCGCTGGCAGTCCCAGCCTTGGGGCAGATCTGAGTGCAACGGCGGGCCAGGGTTTGGGGTGCTCTAGCGCCCGGAGCGGCCCGCCGAGGACACAAAGCTCCGCCGCCAACAATACCTGCGGGCTCCTCCTGGGTCTCGGAGCGACGGCGCTGCGCGTCTGGCCGTCTCCCTTTCCCCCGCCGTCTCCTCTCTCGCGCGCTCTCTCCCTCGCCTCTTCCAGAACGCGGCGACCAGATGAGATCCTTGGGAGAAAAAAATGTGAGCGCTCGCACGATTCCTTTCTCTCCGCCCGCCGTTCACGGTGGCCCCGGGCTCGCTCCTCTCCCTCGCGCTCCCGCGCGCGCCGCGCCTCTCGCGCCCCGCGTTTCCTCCTCAGCAGCCCCAGCGAGCGCCCTCAGTAGCCATTATTCAACGGCCGCGGGGGGAAAGGAGGTAATTAGAGACGGCCCCGTGGCCACATCCACTCGGCTAGCGCGATGCGGGCGCGGGGCGCGCGCGGGGAGGGGCGCGCGACGAGGGGGCTTGGCTGCGCGCAGCCCGCGCCCCAGACGCGGGGGAGGGGATGAAGAGGAGGAGGGGGCAGGGAGGGAGGAGGCAGGAGGAGTGGTGAACTCGTGAAGAACGGGAGGAGGGGGCGCCGGAGAGACGCTCCCGCGGCTCTCACCGCTGGGGCTCAGGGTCACCGGCTGTGAGGCTCCGAGGCGCTTAGGGACTTGGGGGTGGGGGTGTGTGAGAGAGGGAGTGTGCGAATGTGTGCGTGTGTGTGCGCGCGCACGCGCGTCAAACAGAAGGGGAGGGAGGGAACTCTTCAATATTTTTCCAGTGACTTACGAGCCTGCGGGTGAGCCCTTGGCTGTGCGTTCAGGTCCGTGTGTGTACCAATGTGGCTGTATATGTCTGCTCTACCCTACGTATGAATGTCACCTGGCTCCGGGGTCTAGATTCGAGCTTGTGAATGTGCTTGTGGGTCTCGGCGGACTGAGTGATGCGATGCCTGCGTAGGGTGGTGTTTGTGCGCGATTGTTTATAGGGGGTAGTGTGATTGCGTAGGTGGGACTGCCTGAGCCTATGTGTATGGCTTTGTGCCTGCGTGGGCTGAGTGTTCGGAGGGCGTTGTGTGTCCGTGTGGGCTTGTTTGCGAGTGGGCTAGCGGTTGTGCGGGGCTGCGCAAGTAGGGGCAGTACGCCTGTGCGGGACTGTGGGCTCGCCAGAGGCAGTGGTCTGTGGCTGCCAGCGGTCGTGTGGGGTTGTGTTTTGCGTGCGGATCTGAGACTTAGCGGGCGGGGCTGGCTCTCGCGGCGTCGGGGATAGTACCGCAGCAGAAGAGCTGCTTAAGGCGCGAACAGGCAGCACTGGGATCAGGGCGCAGAGCGACGTGTAGTGCGAGGGGTGGGAGAAGAAGGCGCAGAAAAGGCGGGGGCGGGTGGGGGGACTTCATTCCACGCTTTCCCTTGCTGCACTAGAGACGCAGCTTGGAAATCCTGCCGCTTGCTGGACCCGCGGTCCTAGAGGCATAGGGTTTGGGGGACCCTGCCTGGCTGGGGGAGATGCCCATGGGCCGAGGAGTGCGGAACGACATTCGACAAGTCCCTGGCAGCCCAGAGGCACATGGCGAGGGATGTCCAGAGAGGTGGGTTGCGGCCCAAAGACAGCCGAGGAACAGGCCGAGACAAAGAAGAGCGGGACTTGAGGCCGAACAGCGGCCTGCTCGCGCGCTAGAGCAAGACGCGTGGAGTCCGGCGGCAACAGTGGCACGGCCCCTCTTCGTCCAAGTCCCGGGAGTCCCAGGAGCGGCTCCAGAGCCCCGGGGGCAAGTAATTACGCGCTCCGGCGGGGCTGCGGCGAGTGAGGCTTGGAGTGCAGCTGGCGGGCGCCAGCCCAGGGCTGTGACTGAGCGTCAGGCGACCCGCCCCTTTTCAGCCGCTTACCGCCCACGCAGCCATCCATTCATTCATCCATCCGTTTTCTATCCACCCATCTTTCCGTCCATCCAAGTATCTGTCCATCCGCGCCAGGATCAACACATGTGCCAGACCCCGCTCCCCGACTCTGGTCAGTCTGTCTATCTCACTCTCTTCGGCCCCAACTCCACTTTCTCCTCTGGCTGGAGAGGAATGCACCCCAAGACCTTTATTATAGTTGTGGGTTTGCTGCTCAGTGATCGCCTGACCCTGCCCCTCCTAAAGTCTGCACACATCTTACACCCCACCCCCACCCATGACCCAGTGCCAGGTGGGTGTGAGGTGTCTTCTGCTTGGTCCTTCCTGCAGCCAGATGGGGTCTAATAGGGAGGCTGTTGGTGGCTCCCCTTCCTGAGTGCATCTCAGCTCAATCTGGCTTGGGAGTGGGGTGTATGTCCGACCTTGGCCACGGGTGTAAAGGGCCTGGGGCATAGAGGTTTCCAGTATCCCAGTAGCCTGAAAGTCACTCCTAAACCTGCCATTAAACTGGTAAACTAAACAGACTCTTGGGCTCTAGCTCAGACCCAATCAGTTGAATGGCCAGAGTCTGTGCATGGTCCATTTGGCCTGGGAATCAGCACTTTACAACAGGCTTAAGCACCACTGGCATGGTGCTTTTTTTTTTTTTTTGTCAGTGCTGGGGCTTGAATTCAGGGCTTTCACCTTGAGCCACTCCACCAGTCCTTTTTTGTAAAGGGTTTTTTTGTTGTTGTTTTTTTGGTCTTTTGTTTTGTTTTTGAGATAGGGTCTCATGAACTACTTGCCTGGGCTGGCTTTGAACCTTGATCCTCCTGATCTCTGCCTCCTGAGTAGCTAGGATTACAGGTGTGAGCCACTGGCACCCAGCTGGCATGGCACCTTAAAGAGTCTCCCCAGGCCCCTTCGTACACTCTTCCACAGCCACCTACAGAGCAGGACACTACCAGAAATGAATCGCCAAGGATGGGCTCTGATCTCCCCATCTTTATTTGGTGGTACTGAGTTTTGAACATAGGGCCTCATGGTTGCTAGGTAGGCCCTCTACCACTTCAGCCACTCCACCAGCCCATGGTCTCCCCATCTTTAAAAGCTGAGACTGCTTAGTATTATCTTCAATTATCTGGCCTGGGAACTGCAGTCATGCAGGTCTGAGGCTGCCGTGTGAACCAGAAGGCTGCCTGGGGAGAGAAGCCCAAAACCCTGCTGGGGACTACCAACCTAGCCATAGACTGACTCCTTAACCCCCAGAACTTCCTGACTTAGCCACCTCCACACAATCACCCTTAGGCCAGGGCTACACGGGTAGTGTGCGCCCCTTCTCTTGGGGGCAGGGACGCTCTTCCCTCCCCTCCTGTCCGAGTCATCACACAAAGACCTCCCGGTAGCTGAAGGGATCCTCACACAGTTATGCCCCCACAACCTCCCTGGATCTCCCTGACCTGTGTCCCACCCTCCTGACCTCACTCACACAGTGCCCTTCAATGTTTGTGGAACTCACTAGACACACTCACCTTAGAGCTTTGCATGTCCCTCTGCCTATTCCCTGCCTTCTGAAGTACCATATAATTTCCCTGTTTATGTATTTTGTAGGTATTTTTCTGTTTGCTCCTTGGTGTATACTTCATAGCTGGAATGGTGCCTGGTACACATTTCATAAGTATTGTCGAATGAGTGAATGAATGATGAAAGTGAGGTTAAACCAAACCCTCTACCTGTGAGTCTGACCCAAACCAGGATTTCCTTCTGAACTGACAGCTCCCTTGAAGAAAAATGAATAGGGGTAGGGGTTGGAGAACCTTGAGTCAGGTCAGGTCACATGACTCTCCTAATCACTACGAGTGGCTTCACAGATTCTGGGGTTGTGTCTTAGTGTGTGAAGAGAATGGGATGGTGGTGGGGTGGTTTGTTCCAAAGGAGGAAAGAGCCCTTCATCTGTTCCCAGGGCCTCTCTTTGGCTCCCTGGAGTCCCCGACTAAGGTTCAGGAGAGGTCATGCTCACCTTTGCCCAGCAGTGCCTGGCACACGGTACTCACAAGTGGGTATGTATTTATCAAATGAACAGATGAAGCAACAATGTCAAGATTTGCAATTAGGTCTGCATGGCCCCTAAGCCTTCACTTGCTCCTTTGGACCCAACTGGCAGGATTCTGTGGGGTCATGGGCAGCACTGGGCCTAAAGCACAAATGACCTAAGTTTTGAGGGATGACAACAGAGGAGGCTGCTGGGCTGGCAGTCTTCTTGTACCCAGGGTAATGACTCTACCTTCCCCCAAGGGAGTCCCTCCAGGGACAGGACCCCTCCTGGCTGGACTGGAGACAGTTCCGTGGGTACTGGGGCTGCTCACAGGTCTAAAGGGCCTAGTTTTCCCATGAGGTGTGGTTGTGTTCAGGAAGGTCAGCCTTGTGTTTGCCTGGAGCTGTCCCAAAGCTATTTTCATATAAAATCTGTGTCCACTGAGCAGAAAGCTGCAGGGGACCAGGGAGTGCAGGCCATGGAAGCAGCCAAGGACAAGGCTCTCTGACAGGCCACCAAGAGACAAGGTTAACCAGGAGCCACACAGGCAGGCATAAGGAGTAGGGGAAAGGGCATGGACCCCTGTCTGCCCCCAGTCAGGACAGTTAGGTGTCTCTAAGATCCAGAAATCAAGTTCAAACTCAGCCCTGGTTCTATGTGCCTGGGGTCAGAGTGGAGCCAAGTTTTTCTCTTTTTGGGGGGTGGGAGGGTGGGGGGGTGGGGCAGGTTTTACCATGTATTGCATGTAGGTCTAGTGAGCAGCAGGGTGGTGTTTTCAATCTCTATCTATCTTTCCCTCCCCATTTTAGAGACTCAGTCACTGAGGTTCTGGTGATAGACTTGCCCAAGGTCACATAACTTCAGTGGGGCAGAAGTATTCATCCATTGGTTTGGTCACTATTCACTGAGCACCTACTATGTGCTAGTTTAGAGAAAGGAACAAGAAAATGATTCTATTTTAATCTAGAGATAGACAAGAAATTGAACAAGGAAATAATGTGTAACCAATGTGGTTTGCTTGAGAAATGTATCCTTAGGCAGTTTTGTTACTGTATTCACAGAGTGTCTTTACACAAACTAAGAAACAGCTTCTAATGACACTAGGAGATATAATCTTATGGAACTACCTTGGTGCATGCAGTCTATCACTGACCAAATGTTATGTGGTGCTTAACTATATGTTACATTTAGGGGAGGTGCACTGTGGAAAAATAAAGCAAGGGAGGGGGGTTGGGAAGAGGGGGATGTTTTAACACCAGTTAATGGGGAACTCAGACCTGAGAACAAGCCTGGAAGACTAAGGTAAATGGGGCATGCAGATACCTCAAGGGAAAACTGTGCAGGAGGAAGGAATAGCAAATACAAAGGCCCTGAGGCAGGAGTTGGACTTGTGGCTGGAGCAGAGTGAACAATGTGTGGAGTTGGAAGAGACGGGGACAGAGAGAGGACAAGAAGAGGCCACATCTGTAGTGCCCCATACATCACTGTAAGAACTTTATCTATTACAGTGAATGAAATGAGAGTGTCTTTGCAGTGTTTCAAGCATAGGAGAGGTGTGTCCCCCTTAGTCCCTGTCCATATCCATCTGGCTGCCACTAGAATGGATGTGAGATTAGAGAGGGTGCAGGGAGGCCAGCAAGATAGCCCTACGCTGGGCCAGGTAGGCAATCATGGGGTCTGGGTTAAGGTGAGGCAGGTGGGAAGGGTCAGATTCTGGATTTGCAAGGCAAGACAAATAGGACTCGCTGATGCATTTATCCTCAACAACTAACTGGAAGGATGAGGCCACTGTGACCTGCCGTTCATGCCAGTAGGTCTGGGGTGGCTCCCCACATACCCTGGACAGGTGGGAGAGCAATGCCTTAGGAAGGAACACCCCTCCTCAGCCACCACACTGCTCCCCCTGACTTGTTAATGACCTTCATGCCTAATCTGGCAGCTTCAAACTGACAGAGAGGTCTCATTTTTATTGAGTGTACTAGGAGCTGTGCCCTGCTTAGGTTCTCCATGGGTAACCTACTCCAGTCACCTTCCCACCTTCCAAGCCTCAGTAGCACCCCCCATTTTATGAACAGGTCAACCCAGGTCAACAGTGGCCAGCCCTCCCTTTCCCAGTTGATCTGGTTTTGTCTCCCAAACCAACCAAGCTCATCTACTGCACAGAGCTCTCCTTCTGCATGTGTTTCTGGAGCACCCACAGTCTGCCAGGTAGTACTCAGGGCGCTGGGGAGAAAGTACTGAAGAGACAGATATCCCTGCCATCATGGGGTTGGCGCAGGCATTCAATACCTCCAGCCTAGACAATTTTGTCTGCATCAGGTCCTCTGACAGCCCAGCATTCCCCAGTGGAGGGCACTACGCTGGGAAGCTGAAAATTGCAAATGCAGAGAACAGGTTCCTCTTTGAAAGCAAACAACTTCACATTTCAGCTGGTGACAGGGAAGCCATGGAGTATAAACAGTTCCCTTAAGTTTTGGAACATTTTCACAAAACATTTCACAATACCCCCAACCCCCTTCCTCTCCAAATCCCCCAGCTGGCAGTGATGTTGGGGGATGAGCTGGGAGGCCCCCGGGGATAGGTAATGGCCAGAGGCATGGC